TTGCAAGCTTCAAAATAGACTTTGAGATTTTATGAATTCTGAATTTGCTTTATATTTTTTGATCAGCAAAAGATCCAAACTTTATTGGTGAAAACCAACTTACAAAAGATAGATACTATGAGTTGAGATTTGAAATTATATACATACTTAAAAAAACAAAATAAAAAACAACAAAAAACAGCTTATATCTATTTCTCAGATGCAGAAGACAGCCTCTCAAGATTTATGGGGTTTTTTTTTTTTTTTTTTTTTTTTTTTTTTTTTTTGACATTGGCTAGGAGAATTCCGATTCGCAGTGGTAAATATCAAAGCTTTCAAGAGATTTCGTTTTGTCCACACATGGAAAAACCAGGATCATCTTCCTTTGGCAATCCTATATACTCTCATCAAATGGATGTATGGTTCAATCATAAACCCAACCTACAATACATGCATATATATGTGTTTATATATATATATTGATCGAGAAAGAAAACCTGTTTATATATATTATTTTTAAAAAAAAAAAAATTGACTACAAGAAGTTTCATGTCTTCTTAACTTTCAACCCAAATAGAGGCATCCTTGGAGGTAAGCAATTATTTAATCAAAGCCTTTTTGAAAATACAAGACCTTATTAATTAAAATACTTGTTCTTATTAAATGTAGGTTCAGCTTTCAAAGAAAGAGAAGAAAAAGAATAAGAAGAAGAAGAAGAAGAACTAACAAGGTAAAAATATCATTGGGAAAAAAAAAAAAAAAGTACCATTGGAAAAAAAAAAAAAAAGGACCATAAGGACAATTTATATCCAAGTTTGTGATCTAGGAATTTGATAGTTTTAACATTGGCTTTTTTTTTTAATTTTTTAATATTTTTTTTCATAGTAGTTAAGAGACTTTTATCTTCATTGAAAAGGACAATAGAAAGTATCCTTCATTAAATACCTAACAAGTTGTACATATCCAAGTTCGTGATCTAGGAACCTAGTTTGGAAGATTGCTTTCACTCCCTCTGTAATGCCTTCAATTGTCAACAATAATAGGTATGGTTATAGTGTTGGTGGTTGGTGACAATGCTGTAATGATAGGGGAGTTGGGTAGGAATAGAAGATAAGGGGAGGACTTGTGAGAAAATCTATCAACACATAAAAGAAAACCCAAAATTTATCGTCTTGACCTTAGATTGTAAATTTTGAATCATTTTCTAATTTCTTTTTCTGTGTATCGATCTAGACATGCTCTTAACAACATCTTGATAATGTATGAATTTTTTATTTATTACCTCATTCATTGATGACACTGAATTTTAACACTCTTAGATGTTAATAAAATCTCAAAAATTAATTGCTACAATTATTATTTTGGTTGTCTTGAAATCTTGATTTTTACTTCTACATTGTTGGATGGCTTGATTGTTGAACTATTCTATGTTTATATTCATTACTATTTCATTTCAAAATTTGATGGTTTTAAATATTATAAGTGATGATTTCCCTTGGTTTGATGTTCCCCAATCAAGTATTAAAACAGTCTTCTTCTTTTTCTTTTTCTTTTTTTAAATATTACAAGTGATGTTTTCCCTTGGTTTGGTTTGCTTACCTCTGGATGATGTGCAACTGTGCAGGGACTTTTAAGTGTCATTTGTGAGGTGTGACTGATGTTTTCATTGATGTACAGATGATAGCATGGCAATCTTCATTGCATTCCAAAGTCCACAGTTGGAGGTTTTAGGCTTAACCACAATATTTGGTAATGTTACTACAGAAGATGCACTCGCAATGCATTGCTTCTGGTATGTGCTTAGTTTATTCTATTTTCCAACACAGTAATTCATGCTTTGGAATAATTTCAGGTCTTTCATGTTTTTGGAACATGTTCATGACCAATAACTATTTTCAATGTTCAAAAGGACAATGTGAGATTGCTGGATGTCCAGGTCTTCCTGTGAGTGGCAGAGGGTACCCTTGAGCCTTTGAAGGTAACTGCGTTTACATATAATTTGTGGCTTAATCAACGAGTTGTCCTTCATTCCTTCTACACAACTGGACAGTGCCAAAACTTTTTTCCCTCCTAATAACATGCTCAACGAGTTGGTGAAGTTTTGGTGAAATAGGGATATCTATAAACAAATTTTTATTTGGTTATTACTGTGCTAACCAAGGTTTCTTTTTCCCCATTTTGTTCTTGAAAAATATTATTTATACATTCTGTTTTTTAGATGAACTCGGAGATTTCACGGTTGAACTTAAGCTTTCCATTTTCCAACTTGGAATCAATCCTCAGATTGCTGCATCAATTCTCATGCAGGTCTGCTGTTCTTTTATCCTCGGGTTTACACTTCTTGTCCATTAATTAAGACTATTGTTATTGTCCTCAGAAAACCATGTTCGATCCAAAAATTGAACTTGCAGAGGATTTACTTCTCATTTGATCTTTCAAGAGGATTTACGAATACTAGATTATTTGATATCACCCTTTTTTTCCCCTTGAGTTAGGATGATTATGCTGTTAATGATGATCAATATGAACAAAAACTGAAAAAAGAAACTTGGGTATTTTTCATGTTAGCAACGTAAGACAGATTTGTAAATTTTCTTATCTGCAAATGCATGACATTTTTTTAACAAATTGAACTTTGTAGAGGTGAGGCACTTATTTAATCTACATTTGAGCTGGTCACTGTAGTTATGAAGATGGAGAGCCAACTGATAATGCTACAAGATTCTACTAATGGTTTACTGAGGTGGGTAGTTTTGTCACTATCGAACTAACTTTAGTAGTGCATTGTTTTTAGAAATTAGCGTGAAGAGGTATTGGAAATGTTTTTAGGAAAATGAAAAGGGAGCCTGGCTTCAACAGCTTACATATGGTGTCTTTAGTCTAGGTAACCATCAATATGAACATTTCAACAAGGTAAATTCATTCTATATTCATATCAATCCATTACTTCTCTTTCTGTGATTCTTTCTTTCTTGTCTTTTTTGTCCAATTTTTTTATCTATCACTGAGCATATTTTGGAAGATCCTTAGCACACCATAATATTGTCATTGAGCCAAATATACTCAATGACTAGTCACCGGTAATTGTAAATGCAATGTTGTATATTGGAACTTCTTTCTAATTGCCTCAATAATTTTCGTGTGTATGTTAATCGAATCAGGGGCATGACACTGAAACTAATAAAAGTGTTGTGTTGACAGCTATATCGTTTCATCTTTTTGGCTATTATGGAGTTTTAGTGTTTCATTTGTCTTTGGAATTTCAGGATGATGCAGTGAAGAACCTAGTGACTAAGTTACATTCTGCTAAAGCTAAGCTTGATTTGGTAACACAAACACAAACAAAATCCAAATTTGTTTGGAGAATAGCAAGGTTCATATATTAAATTCTGATTTCTATAGCTTGAGTGGATGTTCATATATTAAATCAAAATTTGTTTTGGAGGATAGCAAGGTTCATATATTAGTAGTAGTCCCCCTATTCTGATTTCTATAGATACTAAGGGTAGACTCTTTTTTTTTTTGGTCATTATTATTACTGTTTATTGTTTATTTTTTTACTGACCTTTAAGTGTTTTCCTAAAGAGTTAATGTTGCTGTTCAGAGATAACTTCACAAACCCGAGTCTGATCGCTCTTGCATACATCTGGAGTGCGATATATTTTTTCCTTTTATTGTTTGGTTGTGTTTGTTGTTTGATTATGATTAGAAATAACCATGCAACGTTTGCCTAAATTTAGTCAATATATTGAAATAGCAATAAAGTTTTTTTTTTTTTTCCATATTATTGCTATTTTTCAGCTTTATTGCATGTATGGTTTAAATCTAACAGAATTAGCACAATCTCAAAAAAAAAAAAAAAAAAAAAAAAAAGAAAAAAAAAAGGAGCTATAATGGCGTTTTCCCAAAATGTCACTACAGTGCCAATGGTCATATTTTTACAATAGGAAAAAATCTATCATGGTGTTTTTAAAACGTTGCTAAATACTGGATGACGTCATTTTGCTATTATTTATCACATTTACTAATCTAGTGATGTTTTTAAAGCATCATAATGCTACAGTGATGGTCGTGTCTTCGACGTTTGGTACTAAACGTCACAAAAAGAATTAGCAGCGTTTTTTACACCTATAGTGGCATTTTTTAAACACCACTAAATGTAAAATTTCCAGCAGTGTATGATCTTTTGCACACTACTATGCCATGACCAACATAGCATCAAGATTTTAACCAGTTCAACTGCGAAGTTTGTGTATTTATGTGGAGGCGGGACATCCTCATTTTGCTTCTCTGTACTCTAGTGATTTTGTACACATGTATTTTCCCTGGGAATGATGTGGTGGATGAGGTTAAAACTCTTGTAAAGGTTCAAGCAATCTCCTTTTACTGCTGTCATCTGCATTATCTTGCTATCCTCATCAATACTTACCTTCTCCTTTTAAGTTCTCCGCATTCCCCTCTATTTTTCGCATCAACATAACAACTATGTGTAAAGTCTAGTTAATATTAAAAAATGTCTAGCTAATATTAGTTAAAAAAAAAGGCCTAATTTATGGGGGAATGGTAATTTCATAAAATTATTATAGATTTATGAAAAAGTTTATGATTTTAATTATTAATATATTTGAACTAAATTTTTTCTTAATTTATGTCATTGTTCTAGGACTTGGATTCCCTCCAGTCCATAATCTAAAATGGAGAGTATTGTCCGGGCCCGTGAGATCTATTATGGGTTTTGTTTTGATAATCCGAACCGTTTACTTTTTAGAGTTTTTCATGTACATCATACAAGTAAGAAAAATTAAACATTTGACCTCCTAATGAGGTGCACAAACTCTTGGCTAATGGGTTAACCCAATTGGTTCTAACTCACAAGTCTCCTAACCACTACAAAATAGTGAAACAAATGCGGTGACAAATACCATTTATCTTCTCAATTATTTTCTATAATGTGCAACAATTTTAGTAATATGCTCATGGATGTGTACCTGTTTTTGTGCATGGACATGTTGAATGAAGGAGACCAATAGAGATATATTTAAGTAATAAACAACACTAAAAGGCTTTTTAATGCTATACATAAACAAGTACTCAACTTGCAACTTGGGTTTTTGAAGCACCAAAGTTGGAGCTTCCAAACTCTCATTACAACACAAGGATTAAGTCATAACCCGTTTATATTGCAATACAATGCAACCAAATTATACATGCACACATGTATATAAACTTTGCATATTATTATGCCATGACAAGTTTAGCATCGAGATCTTTAACCAAATCAATTATGAAGTCCATATATTTTTGTGGAGGAGGAACATCCTCAATTCGCTTCTCATACTCTATAGTGATTTTGAGGACATTGGTCTCTCCTTTATGAATGATCTGGTAAATAATGTTATAGCTCTTGTAAAGATCCAAGCAATGTCCCTCCACTGCTGTCAAATGAACTGTTTTGTTTTCGTCATCTATGGTGACCTTCTCCTTAAAAGTCTCCACCTTTCCCTCTATTGCAGATGAACATATAAGAACAATGTGAAATCACAGTTAATAGTTGTTTAAAGATTGCCTCATTTTTGAAGAATTTTTGGGTGGTAAGAGGTTGTAATAACCCTCATCACTGTTTACCGAATAACCACTGATTACCGTTAAACTGAAACTGATTATGACTGATAAGTGAACTCAATAAACTACTGAACTGACTGACTGAAATTGAAACTGAATTGACTGAGTATGTATGTTTTATTGTAATTCGATCTGTTTGGTTATTTGATTATCTGTTCGTGTCTTTGTGTTTAAACTGCTAATTGAAGGCCTTATTGGTGGCCGAACCGGAAAACCGATTAGTGTTTTATGATCATCATGATTTATGTGAATTTATAGCATATTTATCTGAAAACTGATTTGGTATGATTAAATTAGATTAAATATTGATAAATTGCATTGTTACACTTATTCACAATTTTGCCATCTTTAGTGGCCACTACCTAGGACATCTTTGAGCCTTATTTCACTCAAACAAAAACATTTCCTCAGCCCCTTGTCCTTGCTAGCCGACCAAGAGAGAGTGATAGTAAGAATAGTGAATTCAACATAGAGATTTGGCTTGAATCTTGAAGAATTGAAAGCTTAAGTGCATAATTGAGCCTCTAGACTTGTATTTAAGTTCCTTCTAGCATGGATCATGGTAGTTGAAAGAGTTAAGTCAAGAATTGGTTCATTAATGTTGAATTGGAGCTCATTCCATGCATGCATGTTTGAATTGTTGAATTTGAGTTGATTCCATGGAGAATTGTCTCATGCATGCTCATGGTTATGTTAAGTCCATGTTTTCATCTTGTTTTTGGAACAATTGGCTCCTTAGAGCATCAAATTGAAGCTTTGAAATGGTTTTAATTCATGCATGTTTGCATGTTCTTCATATTCATGGAAATTGGTTTGAATTGGATTTATTTGAAACACCCTTGGGCTTTGATTTTACAAATTGAGCTTTGAATCATGTTAAAGTATGAGTTTTGATGTGTTTTCTGGAAAATTGGCCCAAGAAGATCGAAATTTATGGTTTAAAACTTGGTTTTGAGCTTGAGGTTCAAATCTGGAATTTCCAGAATTTGGACTCACGCTCGAGCGGGGTGACTGGCGCTCGAGCGTGGAAATCGTGCTCCCAGCATTTTGTTCTGTTTTGAAGTCCACTCAAGCGGAATAATTGACGCTCGAGCGGGACATTGTGTCTCATGCTTGAGCGGGTGTTGAGCGCCCAATCGAGCGTGATTTTCACCTATCCGGCACTTTTGACTGTTTTGCAGAACGCTCGAGCGGGTAAGTCTATGCTCGAGCGGAAACCTTTGCCTGCATGTCCGCTCGAGCGAAGTAACCTACGCTCGAGCGTGACCCCTGTTTTCTGAAAAGTTTGAAAATGCTTTTAAAGTGCATCTTTGCATCCTCATCTCATCCTAGGCATTCTTAGGCCTAGTTTAAGGCATCTTAATGAGGATATAGATGTTGAACCACACCGAGGCAAATTAGGGATTAAGTTATTATCTTTCCCAACTGTGTAGCTTAGTGTGTGTTCAATCTGTAACTGTGTAGGGTTGGCGACAGGGGACGCGCTCTAGCTCTACTGTAGCCCAGAACTCTGTGAGTAACAACTGTGTAAAGATATGTTCAAAGTGATTATCTTCTGAACGATTGAACTGTATTGCTTTCTGAACTGATTACTGTTAACTGAATGAATGTATGTCATCTATTCTGAACTGTATTGTGGCATCCTTAGCAACTACTGTTACTGACTGTTACTGTTACAGAGATCTCTGTCGATTCCCTTGTTGGAACCACTACTGTTACTGATTGATGGCCATCATTTACTGTTCGGTCTTTTAAGACCTACTGTTTACTGTACTGTTATGCTAATGGATGTACCACATATGACTGTACTGACTAAACGACTGAAATACTGATTTAATGAACTGTTTTCATTACTGTAAGGACATTCATTCTTAACCCCTTTACGCATTGTGTTATTCACTGGGCTTTAGCTCACTGCTCATATATATATGTAGGTGTACAGGCACCAGACCACAGCTAGGAGCATCGGGGTAAACTCCAGTTTTGTCGAGCCAACCTATGTGCCTCAATGCGAGGTTCCGAGCCTGCCAAGTTATGGCTTAGGGGTGTTTTAGTTCCCCCTTCTGTCTCTGTAACCGTTTTGTTTACTGTACTGTACTGTACTGTTTGATAGAGATTAGGTCCCTGAACCGAATGACTGCATATATATACATACTGTTTTGTCTGACTGTATATATTTAAATGAAAAGTCTTTTTGCATACAGATTATCACAGCTCATTGGACATTGTTTATTTATTGTATTGGTTTCCGCCAGCCCCTGTACTCTCTATTACTGTATTACTGTTAAGCAGGCCTTCGGTAATCTCGGATTACTGGCCGGTTACGGTGCTAAACCCATAGGGGCGGGTTTGGGTCGTGACAGAGGTAGATGCCACATTGTACCTTCCTTTATTTCGATTGGATTTGACAGTAGGGTCTATTACATTTATATTGAGTGTTTAGAAGACTACAGAGGATATACACATTTATAATTGGTGGAAAGTATCACTTGGCAGTACCAAATGGTACCCTCCCAGCACAAAAAAAATTCTCCTCATTTTTACTTGGGGAAATTACTTTACAGTGAAACAAAAAAGAATAATTTACACACACATGGAGTTGCACCCCTATAAATTCACTTACACCCCCACCACAGAACAATTTACACTCTCCATGTTTTGGCAATTTTTTTTCTTAAGCAATTCCCCTTTTTTTACTTTGTGCATGAGAGAGAAAGTAATCTGAACAAGACTAGGTTCTAGCAGTGAAAAATATTTTCTAGTAGGTGGTGAAAAATATTGTCCACTTTGGAAAACATTTTAATAGAGTCGTGTCATTTGGTACAACAAAAAATAACAGGCAACGAAAAATAAGCCTATTTGAATGTAAAATATTTTTTATTAGTGAAAAATGTTTTTCGAACTAATGTTTTATCAATGTCACCACATTACTAATCACCACCACAATTACAACCACCATCACCGTCATCCCCGCCACCACCACCACTACCGCTACCACCGATGTCACCACTATTGTCACACCACTATCATCACCACCCCCAACACCTCCACCTGGTGCCACCACTACCATCATCACTAATACAACAATTAGTAGAGTACTTTCAATTAACGCAATTAAATATAAGAAAACATTTTTTTATGAAATAATATTTTTTGAAATTTTTTTTTTTTTTTGTAAAGAAAAATATTTTCTGTCTAAATAAACAGAGGTTTAGTGAACATACCTGTAACATAAGTCCAGACCTTGATGGATCCATGATCTCTCCATTCACCTTCATGTAAGTCTAGTTTGGATACTTTATCAGGGCTCAAGTTTTGTGCTGTATGTGCTTTTTTACCTGAACATATTTGGAAAAGTTCATCAGCATCACACTTTATCTCTACTTCACCCTCCATCTTACCACCAAGATACATTTTTACGTACACACCCCCAAGTAAGACTTCCAACTCTCAAACAAAAATAGAGAACACTCACTCACTCACACACAGGTTGAAGAAAATCCCTTGACAAGTTGGCCCTTATTATAGAGGCACTAACGGTGAATAATTTTCCACATGCCCTTCTTCTCCTCGTAGAAAAAGTGATGAATTTATGGAAAAAATTCACCTCGTCCCACTGAAACTATCAAATTTGTCTTGTTTTAATCTTTCAACTATTAATTTGAATAATTGTACGGTTAAACTATTGATATTGCTTAGTTTTTTTTTGTATCTTTGCCTTCGCTTTTCCTATCTAAAAAAAAACTATCAATTTGAATAATTGTACGTTGAAACTATTGACGTTAATTTACTTTATTTATTACTGATGAGCAGAGTGAAACATTTTCTAAATTTAATTAAAATTATGAAAACGCATACCATTTACATAATTTATTTCTGTAATAATAATGGGTTATTTGGTAGTAAAAGTCAATAGCATTTTTTTTTCTAATTTCTAGATAATAAATTTTTTTTAACTTATTTAAATTAGAGAAAATTATTGAAAAGTCTAAATTAAGGAGGGTATAAGAGTTTAAATCCAATAGATATTTTTTGTTGATAGGAGGTCCGTTATTTGTAAAATAGTTTAGTGAGAAGTCTTTTTGTTAGTTTTGGAGGACATCTTACTTTCAATTTTACCCTTTAATTTATCTGTTGACTTTTTTTTACTATCTGTTTAAATTTATATCTATCTATTCAAATTTTTTTTCTATCTGTTCAATTTTTTTAGCCATCTGTTTAATTTTTTTCCCTTATCTATTTAAATTTTACTATTTGTTGAAATTTACCCTTGCCCATGATTAATTGAATTTTTACATCTCTGTTATCTCTCTCTCTCTCTCTCTCTCTCTCTCTCTCTCTCTCTCTCTCTCTCAATTCTCATTTTTAACTTATCTATATGTTGAAATGTGAAATTCCTTTATATGTTCAATTTTTTTGCTTCCCTATTTAAATCTATTTGTCCAAATTTTATTATCTATTTTTTCACTTATCTGTTTAAATCTATCTGTTCAAATTTTATTATCCGTACAATTTTTTCCCTTGAATTTTATTTGTTGATTTTTTTATTTGTTCAGAGTTGTTTGAACAAATCTTTTTTAATCTGTTGCACCATAGGTTTTTTTTTAATCTGTTGAAATATGTTTCTCAACAAAAAAAAAATTATCTATTGCATCACAAATTCATGTACACCACATATTTTTTTTTTATCTGTTGCAGTATGTTTCTCAACAACATCAACAAGAAGAAAAATCAACAACAACAAAAATTACACACATAAGGGCAAGCGAAATAATTTAAGTAACATAAGGACACGCGAAATAATTTAGATAGAATTACCCCAAACAACCCTAACGTTACTTATATAGAAACAAAACTTTGACAAAATAAATATAAATCATTAAAGATTTTTTTCAAGTTGCTTCTCTAAATCACTAAAATTATTAGTTCGTAAAATCTTAAATTACTCCACCCATTACAAAATGATTTTTGATTTTTTCAATAAATATAACATGATACGAGAGGTAGGTTCAATAAACCAAGCCTCCATTGAGTCCATTTCTCCCATAGATTTGTTCCATTACAATTTAAATATTTAAGAATTTTAGAGATTAATTTTTTTTTTTAATGTAAAAATTTTGATATAAAAAATATTTAGACTAATTTCTGTCATCTCAAGGATAGTTGCTGACATATTATCTCAAACAGTAAAAAACAAGGTATTTAGCGACAATTTTTTTTAAATGTCACTAATTTGTCCCAAAAAAGGTTATTTTTTTTAAGAAAAAATTTGATTCCTAAAAGAAAATAATTCATCATTAATGTCTAAATTTTGTTGCCAAAATTATAATAGTGACACTTTTGGCAATAAATATATTTTGTCTTTAAAAAGCGATTTTATCCCTAATTTTTGTCTTTAAAATTTTTAATTTGTTTGTTTTCAAAGATAAAGGGAGAAATTAGATTAATAGTGAGGTGAGCTTTATCAAAATCATGTTTAAAAGAATAGTTGAAGGGGAGTAGAGTTGGAAAGAGATGGGAAGCTTCTTGATTGCTAGCTTTACTCTGTCGTGTATGTGTGGATTGTTTTCAAAATTAAGAGTAGATTTATTTATTTATTTCTTTTGATGAAGAGCAGGACAAGGGGGAAGGTGAATCCTTCCTTGGTTCAATTTGTGGACTTTGTAGGGTCTTTTAAATAGCTAATTGCCAAGGCATCTATGGGTTCTTGCTCAAGCTTTCTTCGAGACTAGTGGTCTCAATTTTTCCCCATTTTCATATGACACCTACAACTTCGTCCAGGCAATAAAGAATTTGAAGTTAGCTACAGATCAACTAATTGGTTGCACAAAACACACCTATCAAAGGAAAAATATGATTAACTGTATTGCACTGAATTTTTAGGTTGTAGAGGATATGATATACCCTTGATATGATTTGAAGGGGAAATTGCCACAATATTGAGATAGATATGTTAATCAGTTTTGATAATTTGATATTTTTATTTTGGAATATGGTCAGAGAAGACAGGATAGGCTTATTACAATAAAGGTAATAATAATAATAAAAAAAAAGATGTGGGAATTTAACGTAAGTAATTGAGCGTGAGTGCTTTCAGAAATCAAAAAATTGTGAAAATTTGATAGGCAGTAATACAACAAGGGGGTCTACTAAATATTCATCTTTGTCTTGGTGTTGTCCGGAAAGGGAGAGCATCACAAGCAAATGGTGAAGCCTATCGCCTCGATGATGAATGAAGTACCGAGCCAACAAGTCTATAATCGCTACAACAATGACCAAAGAAAGTGAATCAGGCTTCTGGCTATGAGAGTGGTGAAACATATTATCATCCATCCTTTACATACAGTAGAATTCAAAATGCATTTGTTTGAGATCTAGATGAGAATAAAAGCCCGTAGGCGGTTAAGTCAGAGACACCAGTCACATAAGCTCCTTTAGAGATAAAGGTAGTAAGAGGCACTATCAACCAAGATTTGCACAGGCAAACAATTGGTTTAGACATCATTCTTTAGCAGGTAATGGTTATCATTTTTCAATGCCAATGACACCAAAAACACATAGATGGAGATGGAGTAGAGGCATTTAAGGTGAAAGGGAAAAAGCTAGCAACCAACACTCAAAAGCTTATTAATGTCCTCTAGATAGACAAGTACTAAACACATAATTGGATTGATTTTGAAGCACCAACACTGAGAGCTTCCAAGCTCTTATTACAACAACACAAGTACTAAATCAGAACCATTAAGCATATGATCTTTGCACATTACTATGCCATGACCAGCTTAACATCGAGATCTTTAACCAATTCAACTGTAGAGTTTATGTATTTGTATAGAGGCGGGACATCCTCATTTCGCCTCTCTGTACTCTATAGTGATTTTGTACACAGGCATTTCCCTTGGGAATGATGTGGTGGATGAGGTTAAAACTCTTGTACAGCTTCAAGCATTCTCTCTCTACTGCTGTCATCTGCACTATTTTGTTTTCCTCATCACCTTCTTCTTTTAAGTTCTCCACCTTCCTCTCTTTTTTTTTTTGCATCAACATAATAACAATGTGTAAAGTCTAGCTGCTTTTAAAGGATGAAAAGCAAAGCAAGAAGGACATTTTGATCTAACCAATAATATATTTCCTTATGTTGATATTTTTTTTTATTCATTCTACATGTATTACAATTTTGAAAATTTTCACTAACTTCAGGCTTTTTATTTATTTATAGAGCATCTCCAATGATATTTGCTATAATATCATTGTTATTGCTATAATTTGGCAATGAGTAGTAGTAATTTGTCCAATTATAGCAATGGTGCTCCAGTGGTACACATGCTATTTTGACAAATCTCAACAAACTTTCCCTCCAAATTTGTAGATGATGTTTGGATATAGGTTTTTTAGTGATTTTTTTTTTTTGTCTTTTGTTACCTTTTTTAATTGTTGGTAAAAAAAAATTATATATTTATATTATAATCGACTAGACAAATATAAAAAATGAAAAAAAAATTAAATACTAAAAATTACATTAAAAATAAATGACATTGCAAAATTAAAAAATACATTCTCCCGTAATGATGCATCAAGAGGCAGGGGAAAATAGTAATTTGGGTTGCTGACATTTGCAGACCACTTGGCGAAAATCTCATTTTTTTTCACATTATGTAATATATTTTCGTCTAAGGGTCCATATGAGAAATGGCCGTAGTCATTATCAAATGTTCTTTCTTTTTGATATCATGTTCTTGTCTTTTGATCTCAAGTTCTTTCATCTCCTACAGTGCTTGAATCCTTTTTTCTTCTCTTTCAGCTTTTTCCATTTTCGTCGCAATAAGGTGTTGGTTAATTGTCTCTAACACATTGCTAAATTTGTGGACTTCAGCTTCACAGACTCGATTTCTCCGAAATAATTATTTTGCAGTTTTCCTACCCATAGGCCTTTTACCTCTTGCAGAGACACTACCGTCACCGATTAGATTATTACCAGCAGTTGGATTGTTGCCAACACTTAGACTGTTGTGGTCTTCAAGAGAAATGCAGTTATTCATAAGGGAATCGAGGGCTACATTAGGAGAAAACAGTGTATGTATCGTTGACTTCATTGTGTTCATCTGAGCTACATCTTGCCACTTGATATTATTTTGCAAGATTGGCTAACAATATTCAAAAGCAAAATGTTTATTTTCATTGTGATGGTATAAAAGTTTTGCTTGAAGCATCTGTATCAATAAAATATTAAATTAATTAATTAGTTAATTTTGATATGATACAGAATAAAAAAACTAACATAATAAATGAAGATGAAATCTTACTATATCAACTTGAGACATCCCACTTGGGTGTAGATTTTTGACTTGCGCTAAATGCCCATGAAATTTGTTGCAACATTTCATGATTACACTCCA